CCCCCACAATTTTTTCTCCTTTCTTCTTCATTTCTCCATTTGGTTCCATCTAATATTCTCCCTCTCTTGTTATTACTGGATCTATTTTTTATCTTTCTCATTTTATTCTTCTTTCATTTATTACCGGAATTTAGTTGAAAGAAGAAACACTCATTCAACAACTCACAAAAAAGATCTAATTTTTTTGGTAAAATTGACTTTAAGTTACCCAGCGAATTTATACAATAATTTTACAACAAAGAAGTTAGTTTTTAAAGAAGTAGTACATGTGCATAACTATCTTCTTCAAAGCAACTCGAAATTTTACCAATAATCTTCACTCAGTCAGAACTCCAATGAATCCTAGATTTTTCAGCAAACCCTAATTTTTAATCCTCAATCTTGAACAAAAACAAAATAAGACTAAGCAATCGAGGATTATTGGGGAAAATCAAGGTTACAACGAAGCTTAATGGAGCAAATCGCTACTGAGAGTTGTAGTATCCATCATTGGAAGAGAGGAAAGAAAAGCGAAATTGACAGAAATATTTTTATCCTACCCCTCTTTTTTTTGTTTCTAACTGGGTGAATATTTATCCCTTTAATAATACTTGATTATTATTTAAAATAACTAATTAAGTCAATTTTTAGATTAAGCTAATTAACCCCATACGTGGATTGCCACATGGCAAATATTTTTGATAATTTAGAGCGTGTAACACACACACTATCCGAAATATAACGATGGTATTTTAATATAAAGGAGAATATAGTTTAAGGGGTTTTGGGGGATATCGGATAGTTTAAGCATGAAACTGACAAAAACGTGATAGTTTAGAGGAGTTTTAGGGTATTAACTCTTTATTGATTTACAATGAAAAATTTGGGGGAGTATGGATATAAATAGCGAGAGCAATTTCAGTATCAAATTTACATCAAACTTGTATTAATATAATAGTATTTTTTTAATCAAACATAAGTATTAAAGGGTAATTTTATCTTTAACTAAGCTAATATATGCATTAAAATTTATTACATTATTAATACCATTATTTCATATGCATTAATTATGCACAAAATAATACCAAATAAAATGTACATATGTTCAAAAAATATATCAAACAATATATTATAATACACAAAGCCATCCTACCAAAAGTAATGGGCTATACATAAAATTATACGAGCTTAACTTTGTTATGAAAATATTATATTGTGGATGTCCATTCATTACTCCGATATAGATAATCTTCCTGAAGAAGATTATCCATTTAGTACTCTGTTGAAGTTTATCTACAAGCAACTGATGCAGGCAAGTTACAAGCAACTCAATGAAATAATTTGCAGCAGCTTCTTATTAAACAGGCAGGTTGCAAGCAGCTCATGCAGATAACTTACAAGCAGCTGATGCAGGTAGGTTGCAAGCAACTCAATGAAATGATTTGCAGCGGCTTCTTATTAAACAGACAGGTTGCAAGCAACTCATGCAGACAACTTACAAGCAGCTAAAGAAAATCCTTGCAACTTCTTCCTGAAAAGTCTCGCAGCTGCTTCCCTTCTTCTATAAATAGAGGAGTTTTCAATTCATTATGAACATAACTTTAAAAATTGAATAAAATATCAATCTCCCTCTATACTTGTCTTCAATTTATTTTTTTTATAGACTTTATTTTATAACACGTTATCATCACGAGACTCTGCCATTTTGAGTACTTATATCGAATTTAATTTCCATTTCAGTATTTATCTCCGATGTAAGGTGACACTCTTATGTCTGGGTCAGATCTTGTTCATTCCGAGCATCATAAGGCAGATTATATCCTTGAGGTGGTGAGTTTTTCTTCTTGGCAGTAGTGATGTAGATATCACTTACATATGGAGTGGCCAAATTTGCGTAATTTAATTTGAGCCATTTGCTTATATTTTAATATCTTTATCATCGCTTGCTTTGTTATATGTTACGTATACAGTACCTATTTTGGTATTTATTTTCATCCTTATTATCTTAATAAAGGATTACAAAGTGGATAACATTGTTAGATCCACTTAAACTCCAGCAGAGTTTGCAGGAAATATACAACTACCAGAAGTGGTTATATTTCGTATATCTCATTGTAACTAAATTTTGTTAACCACCAGAAGTGGTATATGCTTATGACCACCAGAAATGATAATTTAGGCTTTTTATGGTTACAATTAAAGATAAGCTAGATAAATATTCTCTATAATACATGCACGGCTCGATTTGCTCTTGAAGTAGTAAATATTTTAAAAGAGGTTGAAGCATCACAATCTGATATGATTAATGCGTGTTCAGATAATTATGTTCGATTTCCTAAAGGATGAGAATTTTTTTATAAATATTAATCTATTCCCTGAAGTGAATGTGATAATATTAATAAAGTCATAAATATGAACGCGCTCTTGTTGTAAATATATTACTATTCACCTCCAGAAGAGTTAATATGATTGATAGAATATATACTCAATATTTCGTATTTAAATTTGCTCCTGAAGAAGTAACACAATTGAAATTTTCTCCTGAAGTAGGAAAATATTTTGAAGTAGTATCTTTATGTGCTTAAACAAAATAATGAGCTATTCAAAGTTATTTTTGAAGCACATATTCATTCTCCAGAGTGAATGAAGAAATACCACAACTCACCTCCTGAAGAGGTAGAATAATAGAGGATATAAATATTATTTTGTAGCATAAAGATCATTATCACACGTACTTGTTGTACGTAAAACATCTTGGATAATTTTATTAAGTATCATTCTAAGGCAAAAGCATTCTTGTAGAATGTTTTCTACTACAACCATATTAATATATTATGGTTAGTTATTGAGTTTTCCGAATGAAATAACAATTCGTATATCTTTACTTAAAAGATGCAATGACTATGTGGTTGCCGTATTGATACAAAATATTCAGATGTTAATGATATTTCTTCTTGGAGGAGATATTTGTCACAAAGTTAGTGGTAGAAATATTAAAATTCTTATTTTTCGTCATTTATAAATTTAGAATTAGCTTTATATTGTTCATTTGATTATGATTTTCTCTCATGATACCAGAAGTGTCTGAGAAATATATAGTAGTACAACAAAAGCTCCTGAAGAGATAACTGTTTGTCTAGAAGACACATGACACAAGTAGTATCTGAATAATATTTGATTGTGGACAATAAATAGAAGGCTCCCGAAGAGCTTATTTGTCATTATTGTGGTCAAAACATATGTTATGATAAACCGAAGTTTACTAATATATATGACTATCATACTGAGACTACAAATGGTTGAAAGATTGAAAATCTTCATGTTTCCACAATCATATGGGGTAAATATGTATGTGAGAAGATACCTGCCTTATTCTTCAAATTTATACTACATCATGTATCACAATATATCAGAAGTTTACTAATGCAAAAGCAGTCACAGTAAATCAGAAATTTACTGATACAAAAGTAGTCACGGTAAATCAAAAGTTTACTGATACAAAAGTTTATGCCATAGTAAACTAGAAGTTTACTTAGAGATAGCACATGCCATGATAAACTTATAGTTTTCACTTGCCATTTTTAAATGAGCTATTTGAGAATTCAGATAAGCATATACTAAAGAACTCGAAGATTCTTCAAGAATTCTCTTGTGTTGCTTGTTCTCATAGTAACTTGATTATACCAGCTAAAGTTGGGACTAAAATCCTCGAATTCTGAATTATATAAAAGATGAATATGGACTTATTCACCTATCATGTGAACCACTTATAGATGCATATATAAGATGGTTACATGTATGTTTATTGTCAACCTACAGTTTGACATTTGAAATTGTCTTTCTCAATTAAGAGCATAATTTTCAGATTATGAAATCAAGATAGTTCATCTTGATGATGCTGGTTTATATCCAATGTAGTTTAGCATTGAATACCTCTTATTAATGGCTAAACTATTGCTTATGAGAACAAAGCCTCATGTATTGGTCTAAAATTTTTTAAATTGCATATAACAACACTTGTATGCATCAGACCAACAAAATATGATAAGTCCTCCCCTCACAATTGGTTTAGGATAAAAAAATAAATATTTTTACTATCTAATAACTTTTGATGTATGGTATATGATTAATTTCTCTACCATATTACACAAAGATATGTTTTCCAATGAAGATTGGGGATATGAGTTAGTTTTTCTAACATTTGGGGATGAAATAAAATAGCTGAAAATATACTATATGAATCGAATTATCATTAATATGATCTTCGCTTAGAAGATAATTCAAGTCAAATGCCAGAAGCATTTGCTGATTTAAAATTAAATATCATATTTCAGCTGCAAATGCTCCTATTAAAATTAAAGTCCCTGAAGGATAGAGTTTACTGTACGCATGAAGCGTGGTAGACCAATCCGTTCCAAAGGTAACAATACTTGAAAAGAATAGGAGCAAATAATCAAAATGATCATAATAAGGAGGAAATAAGCTCTAGAAAAGCCCACGACACAACATTTCATGAAACTCCAGAAGAAGTTCAGATACCTAAAAATAAAGAAAGTGAAGAGATCTCAAACAGTTATGTCGCTTGCGAACTGATACGAAATGATCGTCGACGATATATTTGTTACAATATAGCACACAATATTGTAAAAGATTGTGAAGATCAGACCTATAGTCCAGACACCTGAAGATGTCATGCCATTTAAATGTAAGTCATAACCTATATGACTCATTTGATTAATTCTATATGAAGATCCCTGAAGGATTTAAAATGCCTGAAGCAAATTCAAAATCTCAGAAAATATATTCAATCAGATTACAAAGATCTTTGTATGGTTTAAAGTAATCTGGGCGCATGTGGTATAACCGTCTTAGTGAATATTTGTTGAAAGAAGGTTACATAAATGATGTTATTTGTCCATGTATTTTTATAAAGAAAATGGCATCCGATTTTGTTATACTTGTTGTTTATGTTGATGACATAAATCTTATTGGAACTCTAGAAGAGCTCCAAAAGACAATTGAGTATCTTAAGAAAGAATTTGAGATGAAAGATCTTGGAAAGACAAAACTTTGTCTTGGTCTGCAAATTCAACATTTAGCAGACGAGATCTTTATCCATCAATCTGCCTATACATAAAGGGTCTTAAAATACTTTTACATGGATAAAGCGCACCCATTGAGTACACCAATGATTGTTCGATCACTTGAAGTGAATAAGGACCCGTTCCGACCTCCAGAAGAGGATGAGGAACTCCTTGGTCCTAAAACACCCTATCTCAGTGCAATTGGTGCACTTATGTATCTTGCTAATGCTAGAAGGCCCGACATAGCATTTTCTGTTAATTTACTAGCAAGATATAGTTCTTCTCCTATACAGAGACATTGGAATGAGATTAAGCATATATTGCGATATTTAAAGGGAACTCTTGATATGAGTTTGTTTTATGCTAACAAAGGTAGTGCAGATCTTGTTGGTTATGCAGATGCATGTTATTTATCTTCCCCATAAAGCTCGATCTCAAACCGGTAGGGAATGCATATGGTTGAGATTAGTGATTCATTTCATTCGAGAAAAATGTGGTTTGGAATGTGATAAAAGGTCCACAATTTTATACGAAGACAATGATGCATGCATAACCCAATGAAAGGCAGAATTTATAAAAAGAGATAGAACAAAGCACATTTCACCAAAATTATTCTACACACACGATCTTCAGAAAAATGGTGACATTGATGTGCAACAAATCCGTTCAAGTGACAATCCGACAGATTTGTTCACTAAGTCTTTGCCAACTTTAACTTTTGAGAAGATGGTATACAAGACTGGAATGCGGAGACTCAAATATTTGAAACAAGGTTCTCATCAGGGGGAGTGAAATACGCATTGTACTCTTTTTTTTCCTTACTAAGGTTTTTTCCCATATGGTTTTTCTTGTAAGGTTTTTAACGAGGCAACTAGAAATGCGTATTACTAAATATGTGTACTTTTTTTCCTTCACTAGATTTTTTCCCATTGGGGTTTTCCTAGTAAGGTTTTAACGATGCACGTTATCTTTAAATGAACATCCAAGGGGGAGTGTTATGAAAATATTATATTGTGGATGCCAATTCATTACTCCGCTATAGATAATCTTCCTGAAGAAGATTATCCATTTAGTACTATGTTGAGGTTTATCTACAAGCAGCTGATGCAGGCAGGCTGCAAGCAACTCAATGAAATGATTTGCAGCGACTTCTTATTAAACATGTAGGTTGCAAGCAGCTCATGTAGATAGCTTATAAGCAACTCAATGAAATGATTTGTAGCGGCTTCTTATTAAACAGGCAGGTTGCAAGCAGCTCATGCAGACAGTTTACAAGCACCTAAAGAAAAGTCTTGCAGTTGCTTCCTGAAAACCATCGCAGCTACTTACTTTATTCTATAAATAAAAGTTTTCAGTTCATTATGAACATTAACTTTGACAGTTGAATAAAATATTAATCTCCCTCTATACTTATATTCATTTTATTTCTTTTATAGTCTTTATTTTATAACAAACTTAAATATATTGGAGCTTCGATATAAATAATTGAAAACGTTATTAAATATCTATATTTTAAAACCAAATAAATAAAATAATTTAGAACAGCCTGTCTCCTGTTTCTTATCTTCTTTACTATAGCCTACCAGTGAACTGAAGGGAGGGACGTCAAAAGATGGCTGCTCAATCTTCTTCAAAGCATTCAATGGCTGAAGAGAAGCAAAACAGTGTCATATCAAACTGTATAATTTCACTACCCTTCTCAACCCCACCATTTGTTCAACCTCCATTCCTCAAACAACTCCCAAAATCAAATCTTCAGCTGTTAAACATGGCACAAGAAGCTTCATCAAATGCCTTTCTTCATTTTCACAACTCCATTTCCTCCACTGCTGAGAAATGTATTAAATTGCTTCATTCTGTTATTTCCCCTCATCATCCCCTTTTCAGCAAAATCCTATCTTTCTCTTCCCATTTCCAAGATTTCTGCCAGGTTCTCTCTCTCTCTCTCTCTCTCTCTCTCTCTCTCTCTCTCTCTCTCTCTCTCTCTCTCTCGCGCGCGCGCTTGCGCTTGCGCGCGCTTCAATTTCAGTTTATATGACACTAAAATGTTCACTATTTTCAAGAATTAAAATTCATTTAGCTTGTTAAAAGAAAATTCAAATATGTTCAAACTATTCAAATTTTAAACTTTGATGTGATGATTTTGAGATTTTGCTTCGTATTTTACGCTGCAATGTGGCTAGAGTGGAAATAAGTATCTTATTAAAGGGAGATAGTTATTAAATTGGGGTAGAATCAATTGAAGCAATGATGAATTTTGTTAAAGCTGCATACTTTAATGCTCTAAATCTGGAGTTGGACATATGTAGAAATTGGTAAGTTTGTTTCACTAGGTTTTGTTTGATGTTAGTAGAATACCAACATCAGTTTACCATAAGTGTACATGAACACTTATAGAGCAACTTATCTGCTGTGACCAAGAAAGTTAAATTTGTTAGTAAGACGCCATAAATCTAGACTTTACACCTGAGGCCTTGAGTTAGCTTTGTAAAATAGTTAGCAGTTTCCCTCAAAGTCAAGATGGATGTATATCGGACGGCTTGATTCTAAATTAAGTGGCTGATATCTTCATTAAAGGTAGTTAGATACTTGAAAATGTGATACTTACTATAAAGCAAATCCAAGTGCTTGTCGCAAAAGTTGATATCTGTTAAGATGTATAGGCGTGCTGTTCCTCAAGGGATTGTAAGGAATTACTTATATAGAACAGTTAATGTTCTCTCTAATTGTGAATGTTAGTACATTTCTTCACAAAAGCTTCAGTTTGGCTATAGGAACTGGGAAGGAAATTTTGTGAAATGTGGATTCTATCAGTGGTTTTGTTGGACATCTTCCTGCATTTCTCTATTTTTTTTTTTAGTTTTCTTTTCAAAGTGGAAAAAGGTAATAATGACTAGAGCAGACTCTGTATGTTTCAAACTGTAAGAACTAAAAGAGCTTCAGACTATTGAGCCACTGGCTATATGCAACCACCTGTTTATAGTGGAAGTTGATTGCTTCTATGAGAAATGGTTAGCATTTGGAGAGAACCTCTCGGACAAACTAAATTTGAGACTTGAAAAGAAAACAATGAAGGTTATTCAGATTGATTATGTTTATAGTGGAAGTTGATTGCTTCTATGAGAAATGGTTAGCATTTGGAGAGAACCTCTCGGACAAACTAAATTTGAGACTTGGAAAGAAAACAATGAAGGTTATTCAGATTGATTATGTTGCTATGTGTCATTTTGGTTGACTGGCAATATGTTGTGCTTTGATTTCGAAATGACTTCAAGATATGTTTTTGACTGGCCCTGCAGTGAGTGGACAGGCTATTGCGTTGATATATTAATAGTTGACGATGTATAAAAATTGAAATGTTTTAGTTTACAAACTTCTATGCTGCCATTAAAATCTCTAGAGAATGTACATATAAGAAAAGGTCCACCTCTGGAATCTGATCCAGTTTCAACATGTGCCCTGCAGATATATTCTATTCTCATACTCGAATCAAGCTTCTGTTTGGTTATCTTAGTGTCAGCTATCCTATTTTTTTCATTATGTTCTAATAAACGTTTATCGTTAGATATGTTTCTTCTTTGTATGGTTCTATGTTCTTGTTTATAAGAAGCCTTGTGTCAGGTTCAGATCTTATGTTCTCCCTTATGCCTCTCTCTTGGAACCTCTCATTTGACTCCACCTTTCTCTATCCGCGGTCCTGAGCCAATTCCTCCACCTCTAAATCTCCTTTCTCAAACATTTAGTTTTCACCCTTTCACTCAATACATCTATCTTGTCTGATATGGCAAAATGCAATACGGGTTGATGGAATGGAATGTTATAGATGGGGCTGCCCGAGATAAAGGATTAGTTGGTTAGGTCTGGTCAGTTCGCAACCAGCTGGCAATGTACCTACTTAGCTTGCTTTTAGACCTGCTGCAGAGCTAACTGATATTGGTTTAGCAAAGGCCTCTTATTATCTCATTACGTTAAGTGTCCTTTTTCAAGTAAAAGCATTCTCATGTAAACCTTCACCCTCAGCATCAGTCTACGTTCTTTAACTTAGATCCATAAAGAAACGCCCCTTAAAATTTATTGCGTTTCAACCTCCAAATTATAATGTGGGCCAAAGGTGGTTCGCTTTGAATATTGCTTCAAATGTCAGAGTTTTCCCCTTGTACTGACATAATTAGTTGTTTTGGTGTTAGCAATGAAGGTTCCCAAGCAACAGGTGATCAACCCTAGGCTAGCACTTTTGATTTATGACTTATCACGTAACCAACACTGTATTTTTACTGCCTCTTTACATAACAATTTGTTCTTTTGATTTATTTGACAAATGATATATAAGTCCGACTAATCTCAACTGAATTTACTTGCAGGTACACTGCAGAACTTACCAGAACTTGGGTAATCTGTCCCATCACAGTTTCGCGGCTGTCTTGCCTGGTGACTCAGTTGCAGGAATTGTCGTTGCAAATGGAATTATAAATTTCTTGAACATCTACAACTCGTTGCTGGTTGCCAGGCTTGTTTTAACCTGGTTCCCAAATGCTCCTCCTGCCATTGTCAGTCCCCTCAGGTATGCTTTAAAGCTCAAAATGTTTATGCTTCAAATGACCTGCTATATATTCAAATGAAAGAATTGTCAAAGGAAAGAAATTGATAAAGTTTTAAACAGTGATTCAAAACTTAGTTCTCAAAACTCCAAGTGTCCAAAACGCATCGCCCTTGTCTTAATTCAAAAACCGATATGGAAAGTGGAAAAGAAAAAACACTAATAACTAAATTTCTATTGGTTGTCAGTAGATCCAATGCATTTATCCTCATTTTTATTTCACAAATGCTTTTTCTGTTATATTATTTTACTTTTAAGACAGTATCAGTGTGTTTTTTCTGCTGTTTGTGGCTTTGCGTTGAATGAATCAGATTGGGTAATTAAGACGGACAGTGCTATATGAATAATCCACTAGGACTTTATTCTAATAATAATTGGTAATCCACTGGAATCCTTGGGCAGATTATTACTTCTTGCCCAGTAAAAGTGGCAAGAACGTGAACTTCTACAAGCAAATCAACTGCATCAGTTGAGCTCCATGGGCCTGCTTCTTCTTTTGTTATAATATTATGGCTCAACATCATGGGAAGTATTCAGAAAAGCTCAGCTGTGTATTCTTTTCATGTGTTATTTTTAAAATTTTAGACAGGTGCTAGCTAAACTGTGGATATTGCAGTTTTCTGACGAAAAATATTTTGTTTGAAAGTCCGATGATCCAGAATTTGATTACCTTTTTCTTCATATTTTATTTGAATGAAAACCACTTAGAGAACCTGGTGTCAGTCAGCTAAGTATTGCAGAGTCAAATTACTTAAATACATTTGTGGCTTAATCCGGTGTGAAATGCATATATATATATCTTTTAAAATGCTGTATTCTTTTTCAGCACTCTATGTGATCCATACTTGAACATATTCCGCGGGATTATTCCACCACTTGGAGGGACCCTGGATCTTTCGCCTATATTGGCATTTCTCGTTTTGAATGCCTTCACCAGCACTGCATCTGCACTTCCTGCTGAACTTCCGTCGACAACTAGGAGAGCATCATCAGATACTCCACCTCATGCACCAGTTTTTAATCTTACAACATCACAGAAGAAATGGATGAGGAGATTTAGTGGAAACAAGTCAAAGACTGCTGATGAAAGCTAAAGTCGGTTTCTGCTATCATTAATGAATTGAGCAAATACTTGAGTAATAAGCATTCCCTGTAGACACTACACTTTGACATTAAATATGTAAATCCAATGTTGTACTATAAAATTCAATTTATTTTTTCCTTTGAATCATATAATCATTCTATTTTCTCTTCCTTTTGGAGCTACAAGTTATTAGATTATGTAACTATCACGTGAAAATACTTTTGATGGAGTTGCAATATACGAAAGTATGCTGCCCCGACAAGCTAGTTGATGATGTATGTGAATCACTTCGTTTAAAAACTTGTCTATTTAATTAATTCTTCCATAGAAGGTAGCTAATACTCTGTAGGTTACAGGCTTACAGCATCATTCAATTCCTTTTGGCTATAACCTGTCTACTACTCTACTTAATGCAATGAGAATCTGGGTGCAGACTAGATAAGGTAAAAATGTGCATTTAGTTAAAATGCAACTACAATAACTTTCCACTAATAGGCACCCAAGGGTGTGGCCGAATATTTAATGAAGTGGATGAAAACTATGGAAAGTCAGGATTCAAATTTTAGTAGAGACAAAAAATGCTAAGTGATTTCTTAGTGGGCAAAGTTACTGAGTACCTGGGTGATGGGAGATGGTTGTATCAGGTGGAATAGTCGAGGTGCCCGCAAGTTGGCTTGGGCGGCTGTTATAAAGAAAAAATTGCACTAATGCTTTGTAGAAATAGAGAGCACTCTGAGAGTCTGAGAGATTCCAGTTTTATGCGGCAAGAATCAGATGCCAAATACACAAATACCACTTGCATGCATATCAAATTCGTTTTCCACCTTTCCTATGCCTTTGTTCATATCCATACACCACACAATATTGATCAACATAACCAGAAAGGGGCTGCCTTTCTTTCCTTATCTTCCAAAAGAATATGAACTTTTTCACTTTCTAGAAATATCCTCAATAAAAAGGGTTACTCTTCCTCTCTTTTTCCCCTACAGGGATTACTCTATTATGTTTTTTTTCTTAAACATATTAAAGGGTTACTTTTAATGCAAAGATCATAAGGGATGCGAATTCAAATCTATGAAGTCCCCCAATCCTATGGCTAGATCACTAGAAAGAGAAGATTCTGGAAACTAAGACAATTTAATAACCAATATCCCTCTCAAAGGTCTAGGTTGAGGAAGCATTGAAAACTATTTTTCAATGGAGCAGGAATCTTTAAGCAGGAGAGGCAGATTTCCTACAAATGATAGAAGGTTTTTGGCTATAGGCATTGGACTTCTGGCTGTCATCTCTCCTCTATATATTGACAGTAGAAAAAACACTACTGAACCCCACCTTGAAGAACAAACCATCAACTTCCTTCCCTATCTTCCACTGCTTTTCTTGATCACTCTCATCATGAGCATAAGTATTTCTCACCAGTTGGCTCGGTTCTCATCGTATGATCACAAGCTTCTGGCCATAGGTCTTACACTTGTTGCCATAGTCTCACCTTTGTACGTCGACAGGAGAAAGGTAGTCGATCCAGAGCTTGAAGAGCAATCACTTAGCATCTCTTCTTGCTTGCCATTGCTAATGTTGTTTCTCATCATTGCCATTGCTATGTCATGCTACTTGGACGGGAGCTTTTCCAAGTTTGATCCTTACTGGATTCATAGGGTTGGTGGTTCTTCCACTGGGATTCTCATTCTTCTGCTTGTTCTTGCATTTGTTTTGAAGTTTAAAGCTCTCTAGCATGAATAAACAAAGGGTCTAAAGATACCTTGTATCCTTCTGTTCAATGTGTTCTCCATTGCAAGAAGACGAGCAATCCTGAATTTGTTGGTCGCAACATCCATTAGATAATCCAAGATTTCATAAGCTGATTTGATAAATTTACAAGCACATAATACATTCAAAAGTGAGCAACAAGTAGATCATGATGACATGAAAGAATGACCATCCATTAATTAGCAATAAGGAGATTGTTGTTACAGTAATCAACTTGGTGTATTCTATGATCAGAAAGAAGCTAAAATGTTGAGGACAAGAGAGATACTGCTATCAAAGCAGATTTTGGCAACCATTTGCCTTGTAGCTATCATGTATGACCTGTAAAGTAAAATCTATCTCAAAAATAAGGAAGAAGAGGCTGTTCCAAAGAAAAGATTAAAAAGGCAATCTCTTTTTGTTCCAACGGGTGCTATTCTGTGAATGAGGAATCTCTAGACGTCAGTAGTGGTGAATACTTCAACAGAACTTCCACATTGTCAAACCTACTAATCTTATCTAATATTGGAGTCAGACTCAATCCGATGATCTGCACTACTGTGTTTGAGTGGCCATTGATGAATACATCTGTTATCTGCAAGAAAAAGCAAAATTTTGCAAATTACTGAACAGTCTGATTCTTATATCTCATTCCAGTTCTACACTCAGTAAAACTTCAGAAAAGAGAGTCACATATGACAATCACATTAAATCAGAGAAGATGAGATGACAATAAAATGAAGAACACACAAGAGAGAACTGGATGAGGTAAGAAACAATGCATGACTAGTTCCACTCATAGAACTACCACCTCTTTTTTAATCTGTTCTTTACCCCTTTCCCTTGTGTAAGGTATATCAGATGTATCATGATTGCAAAAAGGGGCAACTGGCCAAATTGATAAGATGCTAACTGGCTTCTACAACAACGTTGATCAAGAAATTACGATTGTGGTCATGGAAGTCTAGACCACCGAGTATCCAACTACTTCTCTCTAAAAGGATTAGCTCAAAAAACAGTTGGCACTTAAGCGGCAAAAAACAATAAGACATCATGGAGGTAGCAACTCCAAAGAACTAGATAAAATCCCAATGTCATTAACATTAGTCTAAATCCCAATATCATACTAGTGAAACAATTGCCACCATGATAAATGAGCAAGACTGCGCCTAGTTGTTTGAGTAATAATGACACAAGGATCAATCTTATTTCTGTGTCACTTTGTCAACCACATTATTTACAAGTGTTCGCTGTTATAGTTTATAAGGTCAAAAAAAGTAGATAGCAAAGATGAGGCATTAAATCTCAAGCAGCATAACAACAACACCAATTACTTTACAAAGGAATCCTAACTAAATTGCATAAAGACCGAGATTTTATGAATCAACTGGTTGGAAAAGAAACCCAAGCAGAAAGAGCAAATCAATTTAGTGAACTCAGAGAAGGTTGTGCCGCCAATTGAATCCCTGAACCATTTCTTGTTATATTGTTATAGCAGTACAGTGGTGTATATTGCATGGATATGAGCCAAGAAAATGATAATGCGTATGAAATAGGTAAACACTTAAAACAACCACAAATATTGGGTTGCACAGGTATACCTGTGTGCAGCCAAAGAGTTTGAGTAGCTTGAGAGACAAGCAGCTGTCTACAATCAGTCCTAGCTCTTCGTCAGTTATTCTACGACACCATGATAGGTCCAAATGCAGTAACTTTCTTGAACTTTTGGATAGTGAGAATGCAGTGCTGGTGCTAACCTGTCAAAGATCTCCGCCAGTCACTAACAAAGCAAATAGTACCAAAAAGAAACCAGCACTTTTTTAGGACAAAAGGCAATCAATATCTCTTTTCCTGCTCTTTAACAATTCCCCAAAAGGAACTGCTCTCTCTCTCTCTCCCCCCCCCCCCTCCTATCTACAGAGATAATGATGCTATGGTTATCTTATTCATCAATTAATTTATTATTTGACTAAGAGTCCAGGCTAACCTAACACAACCATATTGTAAGAGAAGACCACAGATGGGCAAAATGCTTGATCTATTAACAACCTCAAAAAAAATATGCTGCAGATCATATCCTAGTTATAAGTTATAACTAAAAGTAGAGGGCAACTGCAACACAATGCAAATTATGAGTGAGATTATCATCGGACTCTTAAATGCAGACCAATGGCTAAATTTTAGGTACAAACTCAGGAATTACTAGAATCTACTCCGTAGCTCAACAACTGATAGAAACTAGGAATATCACTGGGCTTAATAAGCATATTTGAGAGCGGAGTCGATACTCTTGCATGATTATGTATACCTTAGAACAATTATTCAGTGAAAGATCTTCCAAACATGCTCCAGAAGCTTCCAGAAATGCAGCAATACCTTCATCACTAACATGCAAAGTGTATATTAGATTGGAACTTGTATAACAAAGAAAACCACAAAATGATGCTGCCAACAGAATTTAGATCATCCGTATAAGAACTGCCACAATGCTCAAAAATTACATTAAAAGCTCTCCTATGTCGGAAACAAACAGTACAGCTTCTGCTGGTAATTCAAGAAAATATAGCAAGCAGCTCTTCAAGTAATCCATTGGATCAAAGATCAGGTATAACATTATCATGATGACACAATTTATCACTTAGAATAGTCATCATCATACTAAATTTTTAAGATATACAGAGTCATGTGTCATGGAGTCAATTCACCGGGTTTAACCATGATAACAGAGTGAATTACTAGTTCACTCATGGTAGATGTTACTGAAAAAGGGGGAGCAAATAAACCACAAAGTGGCATATACAATGCACAATGGGAACAAATAAACCTTATATTGATGACTGAGAAATAAGTCCTAGGCAAATCCTTAGGACCAACCACAGCCTCCGAAACTCGCAGATAATGGGCCGCCCATCTACCCTTCTCCGCTTAATACCCGGCTTAGTTCGCATGACGTAGAGCTCAAGCCTGTGAGCTAAGCCACAGTCACTCAATCTTTGCCACTTGAAGTAAGCCCTTTACACTTATCTATTAAGTGGTAATTATTCTATTTTAGTTTGAGAGCCTGACATTAAATCTAATATGGAGGCATAATATGGCCAACTTAATAACCAAGTACAGGGACCTTTCACTTGGACCTCTCCCATACAATCATTCTCTTGGCCACTGAAAAATGCTAAGTGTCTCTCACTTTTCACCGTTACATTGATCACAAGAAAGTCCAAAAGGAATTCATCAAAGTTAAACATAGGATAATAATGAGTTGTGCTCAACCTTAATTGCCTAACAGCTACCCCCACTTCCCAACGGAGTGTCAGAACAAAGAAATAACTAGGTTAATTTCAATAGCAATGACAGCATGTATCACTGGCAAGGATTCCAGATGTCTGAAGGAGCATGTGTAAAAGATCCCTCAAGATAGCACTAC